AGATGATGGGGACTCTCTCCCTCAGGATGTACTACTTGAGGAAAGTCTTCATTAAGTACGTGAGGAATCTCCTTTTCCAAGTCTTTTGACAGTGGCTGCGCAACCCCGGTCAGGCAACTATCTTCTATGGTCGACTCACTAGTCAATCTGAAACCTCCATGTTGCCGATCACCAGCAACTAGTTTCTTCTTTCTTGGTAGCTGCCTTACGGCATGCATCCCTGTCCCAATTCACTCTTCCTCGAGTGGTGAACCTTCGGCTCCACCTGTGCATCTGCACAGTCTCCGGCACCTCTCTTCTCAGTTTAGTGCTCATCTACACTGAGGTCTTGTGCTAAAGACCGTACCACAAGTGATGCCATCGCACTCACTCGTAGTACATCCACATGCTGGTGGACTCTCCAAGACGTTCATCAGATGTCCATCTGATGAACAAACAGCAGGCACGTCACGGATTGGTGCTACCAGCTAACCCATGGCTAATATTTTTCTAAGCCAAGGCAGTCCTAGTAGGACGTCGAAGTTGTCACCCAGGTCCAGTACGATATAGTTATCATCTTTACTGCTTTCCTTCTAGCGTGTAGTGGATTCTCACTACACGGTTCATCTCAGTGATCAATGCGCCTGTCGCTGGGCGCACCGTCATTCTCGTTGGAGGGAGCTCTCGCTCAACATAGTTGAGCCTACTATCCCCTGGCGACTGGCTTCGAAAACAACTGTTCGACGACCCACAGTCAACTAGGGAACAAGCGAAATTCCTGCGGAAAAGCGGTCACAATAAATCTACGGTTCAGTTGGAGTGGGGGACTGGGCGGATCGCACACCTCAGCCAGGTCCAATGCTTTGTGATTGGTGGACACAAATGAGACGTATGGCTAGCAATAGCGCACCTATTCCCAGTATTCCTGTGGAAAAGCGGTCACAAGAAATGTACGGTTCAGTTAGAGTTAGGGATTGGGCGGATCGCACGCCTCAGCCAGTTCCAAGGTATTGTGATTAGTGGACACAAACTGAGAGGTATGGCTAGCAAAAGCGCACCAAGATCCAGTAAGAAATATCCGCATCACTTGGGATAAAGCTAGATGAATGTTGGACCGATAAGATTGCGTGATTGTGGAGAAGCGCGAAGGAAGGATGACGGAAGTGTGGATCGCGCGATTCGCCTTAAGTACTCAAATTAGTTTGATTGGTGGAGCGCGCACGGAGATGGGCCCGTTGGCACGGATGATGCTGTCACACGGCTGAGTGACAGGAAATGACTGTGGAAACTATGCAGAGTAACCCACTTAACGGTCACGAAGGGGTTACTGTCAAGTAGAGTGTGTCATGATGATCGAGGTAGATTATGTACCCGCCGTGGATCGCATACCGCGATCTAGTGCTCCGCGTTCCGGTACTTAGCGATCCGGAACTTCGCGAGCCGGTACTCCGCGATCCGGTACATTACGATACGGTACTGTACGATCCGGTATAGGGCGATCCACTATGGATTACCTGCTGTGAACCACAGGATGTAATCCGTGAATGACATAGACAGCCGACCTAGCGAACAGATAGGCATAGTCATAAGTTTTAGGTTTAATTAGTTGACATCAAACAGAATTTAATTTGCAACGAAATACACGCGTCAACTTCTCCCGGGCTGGATCTTTGTCCTCCCGTTGAATAGAGAGTCACCCACGTCTTTAGTGAACTTCGCTTTTGGATTGTTAGGCCAGGCTGAAGGTCAATTCTCATCTCCCCCCCTCAACTGCGATGGGACACACTGAACCTTACGGTTCAGATTCAAGATCGCGAGACGGCTCAAGTGGTCAAGCTCGCATATCAAGCATCACCCCTGGCAAAGGCGACTCTGGGAGAGCACTCAAGTTACGAGCGATTGAGTGAAGAATTTCCACGCGATATATCACCACCCTCGATCGGGTGGAGTATTTCCACCCGATCAACACCTATCCCTAAGGCGGTCAAGTTCAGCTTTAGCTCAACTTATCCGAGTAGAAGTGAACCTACCCACCGACAAGTACACAGGTTGAGCACAAAGATGCAGGACACGGAATCGGGGTACCTCTCCGTTAGTCGGTCGCCCGGGCGCCAAAGGAGAGTCGGGATCGTCTCAGAAAATGAGCGATCGCCACTCCACCACAATCGTGCTCGTGCCCGGATCTTCTGGTGACTCGGGATTTCGCCGTGAATCCCTGAGCGAAGAAGTGAAGATCAAGGCTGAGCCTGGGATAGAAGAGTCAGCAAAAAAACTATCGTCGCATACACACGAAGATGAAGGATTCCCATCACGTCAAAGTTTGGAAGGGCTTCGATGACGAGAAAATAACAGAGGCAGATCGATTTCACGATCTGAAAGATTAACCCCAACTCCCTCCTGAAGCCCCTCCGGGGGCCACCGCAGATCGCACTGAAAAGCGCAAGCCGCAGGATGAAATTACTAGGAAACTTTCCAAACGATTTTCATTTATGTTAGATGAACCATCAGAGATGATGACGAGAGAAACAATATGTTCTGAGGACTTTAAGAAGCTGGCGGAGGCGAAACAAGATCTAGATGTTTACCAGAACAAGCCATCTAGATGCCAGGTCAAGTCGGAGACGATAGATTAAGGCTGAAAGTCAGTAAATCGCGAAGTGATGTTTAAAAATTGGCAATTCGACGATCTTAGCAGGGAGTACCATTTAAAGGAGATAAAGAAGCTGCTGTCGAGCGATCCAGTACTAAAGATGATCAAGCCGAAGCTGATCGAATTGCTACGCAGACCGATGACAGCTCCTAAACCAACCCCCACCGTGTTGGAGGCGCTCCGGAGTTAAATGAATCTGCTAACGGAGGCAGGGTTTATGGCGGGAACGTTCAACGTACAAACTTTACAAGAGCGCAACCACGAACGAGCAATCGCTGCTGGACAGTGGCTGTAAAAGACGTTGAGTCCGCTTCTAGGCCTACGAGACCCCGGAGACAACACGACCCCGCCGATCGGAACCTCGGATCAACGAGTCACGCCGCGGATTACGATGGAACAAGTTCTCACGCCGATTAACGATTCCCCCAAAGTTGAATACAAAGGTCATCTCGATACACTTCAGCAGATTAGGAAGAGAAATCGAACGATTCTTTAGAGTGGACACACTGGATCATCTCGATACGCTTCAGCAGAATCGAAAGAGGACTCAAACGATTTGTTCGAGATCCAACGGATTTTGCTAGGACCAAAGAGCGCGGATCTGTTCCGGAAGACATCTATACGTAATGCGGCAAAAGCGCAAGGGGTAAAGTCATCGGCAACGCAGTTTACAAACATGGTGGAGTCATGACAAGTGAAATCATTTTTCTATCAGCATAAAGAAATGCGATCAAGAACAAGCTTACACGAATGCTGGACAATCAGTTAATCGCCATCCCGAACTGAAGATCCACATGTCGGACATTGACATGGAGTCAGTTAAATCGCGTCATATTGGATCGCATGACTTTGGTCACGAGCTTCGGGAGGAAGAAGGCAATAGAATACCGCAGGTGGCGATGGCAGGAGCGGCAGAGAGTTGCGGATTCGCTAACCAAAGGATTCGATATTTGTCATGGACAAACTGAAAGAATTATTCGTCCGAGAGAAGAATGGAGAACGGGCCAGAAACTGGTCAAGTAAGGTGAAGTCGGCGTTCCTACGCGATCAAGCGCCAGTAGTGGAGAAGTGCTTAGTGTTAAGCGATCTTCTTACGGGACCGGCGCGTGACTGGTATAACCAGCTTAGCCACTCAACGAGGACTTCGCAAAAGGCACCCCTGAAAGGTTTTTGCTAAAAACTGGAGGTAAGTATAGTGTTTCAGTTCAAAGACTATATTACCATGCGCGTAAGCGATTAAACGAGACTACATTGGAGTACTTGTACCGTCTGAATGTAGCTGAGATCCGGGATCGATCCCGATGCGAAATGGATCGCCGCCACTCGCAAGGAACATACAAATCATTGCATTGGTTACCTGGTTATTTACGATCTGGCTAAAATGCTAACGATGCTACGCATTGGAGATGCAGGTGATCTGGAAGAAATGCTGCAAGAATGAGCTAACATGGAAGTTCAAGAAGCCCATGCCTTCATGGCGTCGAGCAAGTTTTGACAGCGTGTTGCGCCACAGGCGGCCCGAGTTCTAACAAACTAGCGCGAGCTGTGAGAGCAATCCGTGTGGATAGCGAGAGTAGTGTGTCCGACAGAGACTCTTGCGGATCGGACTCCGACTCGAATCAACGCAACGGGGATATAGCCACGGCTACGGATCGCGCTCAGAAGCCGGATCGACACAATGTGTACATAGCTACCGCTGCGGATCGCGCTCAGATATCGGGAGACCCACTCATTCGAAGTGAGCAAGTCGATCGCGATTGCCACTACAATCGTGGAAGGCCTCGAACAGTGTGTACGCACTGTGGGTCGTAGATACATGACAATCGCGGATGTTAAAAACGACTTACGTGTCAGAATTGTGGACGTAAGGGGCATCCTATGGACAAATGCTACTGCGTGTGTTCCGTATGCAAGGACGTCCACGAGGGAGGAAAGTGCCCGATGGACCAGCTTACAACATGTTCCGTCAGTGTTATGTGCCTACCAAGCATGCAGGAATGTTGCCGGAACAAGCCGAGAAGATGCTAAATCAGGAAGCGCGCCAGGTTGGAATCTGGTACGAGCCGAGCGTTCTATGCTCTGCGTATATGCAGTTGTGCAGAGGAAGGGGGTCGAAGATAGCGAGGACAAGCAGGTTGATCGGCAAAATGCTTGTGTTTTCAAATTGTTTGCGTTCCATTTTGACTGTTAGAAAACAAGATGAGTGCAGTTGATCACGCACCAACATGGAACTGGACCTAGAGCCGGTCTAGGCAAGGGATACTGGAAATACTATACACCAGGAAAATGGTTTAAGCAATCTGAAGTGGTTGGGAAGATTAACAACGAAAAGGCCACAGTGCTTTTGGACTTAGGAGCTGAGATTTTAATCATGGGCACCGCCTTTGCTCGTAAGGTAGGATGTGTCGTTGACGAGAATCAGAAACAAGAGTGTGTGGGGATAGGCGAAAACACGTACATGACCGAAGGATGTACCAAGATCAAGATCACCCTAAATGAATTGCTAGAATACTATTTTGACGTGTGGGTGGATGATCAAGTCGGTCAAGAGGTGATCCTGGGTATGGAATTCATGGTGCCCGCAGTGAAACGTCGGGATTTGGCTGACGGGACGCTGGTATTGCCAGATGATGTGAGGATTCATCTAGCAGGACGCAGACCTTTGTACAGATCATCCATGCAGCCGATCGTGGCCCCAGAACAGCACTTGGTTCTGCCGGTCGGTAGATCGGCGGAGATAAGGATCGGCAACGTCCAGTCTAACGCCAAACTCTGGGTGAGGCGCGATTCTACATGGGTACCCACCTTTACCACTGTAATAGGTCGGAACAAGTATTATCAGCTGATAAACCTCGGCGACAAAAAAACAACTTTCGGTCACGGACCGGCTTTAGGCTGGATTATGGCTGCCGACATGGTACCTCGATACCCAGGCTACGTCTCGTTTGGACCGCGATGGTACAACGAGTGGCAGACACTAGCCTTTGAAGCTACGACCGAAAGAGAGGAAGAAGTGCCGACCGCATACGCGGGACCGCTTGTGGATCACCCGACCTATCCTACGCCAGAGAAAGTTTTAAGTCGGCCTACGGGGAATAATGTATCAAAGATTAGCCCGATCGTAGACGAGGGAGTTATTCAACGTGTGGAACCACTACCACGTGTCGTTAACACGATCGAGGAGAAGGGCGGAAGCGTTCGAACACCCGAGGGGCCAATGGCAGATGTCTCGACGAAAAAGGACGGGGATTCCGATAGATCGCATAACGGATCGCATGACACGACCGACGATCGACAAGTGGATCACCGATCGACAAGTGTCAGGCCCGCGGTTCATACGATTCATGAACTTACGACGAACGAAGGAGAAGGGGATCAGTCGAGGTTAGAGGGGGGTCTTTACCAGGTGTGACGATCGATGATGAGCCTGATCCGAGTATTGACCGGATCGCGAGGGACTTAGACGTCTCTACCTGTGGTCATGAAAGTAGGGAGTTTTACGCTGAGGATGTGGATCAGCACGTGGCCGTACTACCCAGCATTTTTACGCCCACTGCCGAAGTTGCGATCGAAGGTATTTAGATAGGCGATCCAGATGTACCGCTGACTGATAACCAAGAACGATTGCGAAAAATGATCTAGAGACACAAGCACCTTCTTACTGGTAAAGGAATCGCACTCCCCTTAGCCGCAAGAGAGGCGATATGTGATATTGACGTGGGATAAGCGATCCCGATTTCGCAAAGCGTATAGCCAGTAGCACCCAAGTTTCGCGTAAAATTAGCAGATTTGATTGTAGGACTGCTTTCGTTCAAGCTTGTTGGACCTTCCATATCACCTCGGGTCTCGCAGATCGTCGTTTTCATCAAAAAGAATGGCGAGGACATCTGATTGTGCTTTGATAATCGACGGGTAAATCGGTTGCCAAGGCTGATGGTGCACCTAATGCTACTGATCATTAAACTTTTACAAGACGTGAACAAAGCGATGTGGTGCTGCTCACTTAACATGGCTGGCGAATTTTGAGTCGTAAAGATGACATAACGAGCAAGAAGGATTTCAGCATTCATTTCACCGTCAGGCATGTATGAATGGCTACAAATGCCGGTTGAAATACTCTCCACAGCTTTACGAACGCCTGATAGACAATGCATTGTATGGATTTATTAAAATCGGTGCTGATCCGGGCGCCTCCTCTGCAAAATCGTCCAAACAGATCGACGTGTTCACAGAAGTAGAGCCGGACACCAGTAGGATACCATTTGTGCTAGGTCGAAGATCGTACATCGATTACATACTGATTCCATCTACATCGTGGGCCAGTTTGTACAAAAGAGTGGCTAGATTGCGACTTGCATGTGATAAGTGGAATTTGTCGATCATCCTGACCAGAAGTATCTGGGGAAGATGCAAGGTAGACTATCTCGGTCATCATGTATCACTCGATGATTAAAAGCCCACTTGAAGGATCTCGGATCACTGTTCAACATTCCGTTTCCTCAAACGCTGCGGTCAATGCAGTCGTTTCTATGGAGTTTAAATTACTAAAGCCGATTCAATAGAGACTTTGCGATATTTGCATCAGTGCTATACGAATTACGAGAAGCCGACTTCCACGAAATCCGACGTATGGATGAGGAGGAATCGTCAACACGGAATGGAAAGAGAGCTGACGACAGGAATTGTCTTGGTGATCACGATATAAACCGTAACAGTGTTACAGGGGCGATCCAACGTTTTTTGGTGTTGCTGAGGGCGATCCAATTGTAACAGTGTAACAAGGGGGGACCCAGAGTTTTTCGGTGTTTCTGGGGGCGATCCTACCTGCACAGACATAAGTCGGTGGGAGAAGGCGATGATTTTGTTCACTATGTTACAGAATAAGATCGCTAAGACTCCAATTCTTAAACATTTTAATTCGGATCGTCCTTTAGTGAACGTGGTCTATGCTAGCAAATGGGCCATAGTCAAGGACATGGTGTGTGCCATGAAGCTAAGAAGTGCGTGTGCGCACGAGTGAGGGCGGCAACAAAATTGATGCAGAACTATTCTGGGTGCAATTCGCACTATCCTGCAAAAGCATTTGAACAAGAGCTGTACATACCTGCGCGGCTTACCGTTTCCCATGCTTGTATAATTAAACATTAACTACACCGATGCGTAGCTAAAACGAACAACGATGCATTGTCACTTTCATTTGTCATTACACAACGCATTCCCTAGCCGTCAACCACCCGGAAGATGTAGGTGAAGTTAAGGAACCTGATTCAGTTCTCTGTACTTGTAACGGGGCACCCTGAAGCTTGTACTGATGACAGTACAAGCTACTATTTCTGACGACAGAATAAGGCGGTGCCTCGGAACTTCACGTACACTCGTACGTGCAGAGGAAGACGGTAAGAAGAAGCGAGTACTTGGTTAAAGTAAAAAGTAGAACTGTATTTATAATAGTTAATGTCTGCAATAAATCACTATTTATCTTCATCTAACTATGTCTAAATACAAATGTGTAAATCAACTATCTGCTCACCACTCATTGCGTGCGTCTGTCGTGGCGCGTCTTCGTTGGTTGATATAATGGCCTATATCAACCAATTAGGAACTACTCGTAAGTGCTACAGAATATTCGTCCTTATAACAATATTCTGAGATAATAACTCTGATAGTTATATTCTATTAACAATTTCTTATAAATTGTTATGTAACGATTCACCCCGTTACATCACCCCCCCCTTAACCATCAGTCACTTTAGTGACTGATTGACTAAATGAATACTCGTCCCAAATCGTTTGGGACAGGGTTTGCACTTGTTGGTCCGAGTCCACTTTCCAACATTTCATCGCATGGTTAACAAGCCCATGCGATGCGCGAGCAAGGCCGCCGAGAGCGCGTCCGCACGTCTCTGTGCGGACGCCGAAGCAGAAACCACAGCAACTGACGTCTCATCGGTTGCTGAAGCGACTCAGCCTGTTTCACTTGGTGATACAGGCGCTGGTCATGAAGACACTCATGTCTTCACAGAGTACGAGCTCGGTGTCTCGTACTCTCCTGATACGGAAGACGGATCCGTATCGACGGCGATCAAATCTAAGCCGCCTGCCAAGCGTGGCATGGATGATGCTTTGCGTCGTAGCATCTTTGGTTCATCTGATGAATCAGATGAACCATCGCCGAAGCGAAGGCGCTCGATATCGCGAGACTCGGGCGCTCGCAGTGGTGTCGGTTCTCCTATTGACACTACTTCGCAACGAGGTGCCAGTACTTCTGTCGGCACATGGCAGGAAGAGCGGGACCGCAGTGTATTGCGTCTCGCTCCCGAAAAGAAGGCATGGATGCCTCCTAAATTCGTCATGGATCACTTGTCGGCGACGACGAGTGATCGTTATCGAACACGGTTGTTCGATTCGTCAAGGATCCATCACCTTGACCCCAGTGCGAAGGACTATCGCGCTGAGCATGAATTCTTCATCGATGTTTTCTTCAAACATCGATGGTACAGTGGGAATCACAAACGTGATGGTCCCTCACTGCTTCAAGCGTGGAACGCCTACATCCATAACCTCGAGGATGTAGGTCGTGACGCTTGGAACGACAAACTTATCAAAGCTCGTGATAAGTTTGAAAAGCGAACCCCAACAGGTGCACGCTACAAGCTGCATCGTCTGTCTAAGGAGAAAGGATTAACCTGCCTCTCTTGGGGAGACTCGTGCCCGTGTTGTGTGAACAACTCTGCACGAGCACCTAAGGAGGCTTACCTCCCTAATAGCCCGTGGTGGCGCGTACGTATCTATAGTGAGATGTACGAAGGGATTGACAACCTGAAATCCCTTTACGACCGTGCCGGGAAGACTTTCTCCGGCGGTCCTTCTGCGGCACAGGATGTGCCGCGTCGTACTGCTCAATCAGACCCAGTACGTCGATCATCAGTTGGGAGCGGGGCTCCCAAGAATCCCAGGACGGGGGATAGCCGCGCCACCGGACGAGATAACTCGTCCGACGTCCGTTCACGTCGCGGTGGTTCAACAGCTGCTCAACCAGATACCGCTGGTCACCGCGAGAGTCCTCTAATGGAGGTGGAGGAGGAGGAAAGACGCTCTCCACACGATCGTCGGGATCCGTGTGTTCCCGAGAGCTTCTTTGATCGCGTAACGCAAGGGTTACGCGACGATCTCGAACATGAGCGGGACAGGCGTCTCCAAATGGCGGACACTGTCTCGAAGCATCGAGCTGAGTTTGCCTTTGCTCAGCTTGAGAACGAGAGAGCTCTGACATCTCTTCGTGACGAGCTAAGGGTAGCTCGTGGGATTGTTGATCGGTCTCGGGATGAGATAGCTGCTCTTCAGACCCTTGTTGATGCCCACCATCGGGAGCACAAGGCTCTCTGCGAGATGCTTGAGCGCAAGGGCGTTCTTCATCGGAAGAAGCAGCGTACTGATGGTACGGCTTAAGCCGACCAACGTAAAACGTGGGATGCGTTCGCATCTTACGTGGCAACTCGATCGTGTATGCATTGCCTAGGCGGTGCAATACACGAAATGGGCCGATGTACTTGGGTAGTAGTTCACTGCTACCCAAGTTAGTCACTACATGCTTTGGTATATTAACCGTAGACAGTAGGACTAAGTCTCCTTTATTGAATAAAAGAGTGTTTGCCCTTCCATTCTTGTCAGCGTTTTGCTTTTGCTTATCCACCGCTTCGGCGATGGAGTCTTGCACAAAACAGACTACCGTTTCACGAGCCAGTATGAACTCATCTGCTGGCTCGTTAGCTTCAGTGCGCTGTGATTGCACTGCAGCGACAACAATCTTTTCTTCAGTGAGGGCTTCCGCACTCTCACTGGCATCATCTTCTTCGATATCTATGTTGTCGATATCGGCATCAAACGCAATGACCTTATCGTCAGAGCGTGATGAGTGTGAGCCAATTCAGTTTTTGCTCGCGCGAGTCTCTTCCCTCCTTAAACCAGAGTTACACTTGAGTAAGGTGGGTGCACGCAGATGGCGCAAGCCGTTCACGTAAAACGGTGTATGTGTCGTAGAAGCATGCACCGAGTTGTTAATGGCAAACTCTACCATTGGCAAAAACGCACTCCAACTCTTAAAGGAGTGTACGTATCCTCGAATTATCTCTTCTATGACGCGATTGGCACGTTCCGTCTGACCATCTGACTCTGGATGATCAGATGTAGACATCTTCAAGCGCGTTCCGAGTGATTTGAACACGGAACGCCAGAAATCAGCAGTGAAGCGTGGATCTCTGTCTGATACGAGTTCACGGGGCAACCCATGAAGTCGGAAGATGGTGTCAATAAAGACACAAGCACAGCCACTTGCCGTGATTGACTCTGGTACAGCCACAAGGTGTACCATTTTACTGAATCTGTCAACAAATACGAGAATACCCGTATTCC